ATATTATTTATATATATATATTTATACAATAGTATAATTGTTTTATTGATTAATGCAATTACATGAAGGAACATCACACAACTTGCATAAAATCTATAATCAAATTCCTTCCATAATTTTTTTGCCATGGCTAAAAAATGCTGTGATGATTCATTGCTTCAATTCCTGAAGATCTTTAATCACGGCCAGAGAAAGAAATCAGACTACGGTCTGGAGGACACTTACATAAGATTGACCTCATTGTTTTCTAGATCTTGTACAACATCTAACTTTAGAGGTACTGTACTTGAAAATGTACATGTCATTTTTCTGATACAGGATGTTCGGGACTTAAATGAATCATCACACAATATCCATAGAGGAAAACTTTATTAGTAGAATTCAATTATAATGTAAGCGTTGTGACACAGATGTCATATTGTGTGTTTAAGATTTAAACTTTCAGAGTTATTCTAGTGATTGATTTTTATCATGATTGTGATTTCATCGATTGTTTCTAACATATGAAAGTGTATCATTCTTTCTGGATTGCCCTATATTACTATAGGATCTTATATTCTAATTTTTTCGTTCGATGGTTCTTTCTATTTTTTAATATTTGAAGACAAATTTGCCCAAATAGGGATCACCATTTTTTTCTTTTGCATTCTAGACAGTACAGTCTGTCTAGAACACAAAAGAAAAAAATGGTGCTCCCTATTTGGGCAAACTTATCTTCAAATATTAAAAAAAAAAAGGATCTTATATCACAAATTATGAGCCAAATAATAAATTAGTTGAAAAATAAAGTATCTTTCATAATTTATATGATAGAATATAAGTTCTGAAAGATATTTTATTGTTTTATTAATTTTCTATTATTCTATTGTTCAGTGTAGAAATTGGGACTTTTCATAATAGGTAAAATTAACATAATTTATTTTCTATATCAAAATTTTCTTTTTATAAGATTTAAATATACTTGATTCTAAGACATACCAATGATTTTTATGTCAAATTTAGTTTTTTTTTATGAAAATGAAAAAACTTTTAAATAATTAATTTTATTAACTTTGATTAACAGGTGGAAAAACAATAGAAATGCCATGAAATAGGTAATGTTTAGCACTTCTGTTTCCATGTTCTTTACCAAAAATGGATAAGAATGTGCATCTTACTTGTTAGAATCAATGAACAAAAGTGCTGAATCTTACCTGTAACCTTTCTTTTATTATATATTGTAATATCAGTCTTTAAAAGCATTTTAAATGTTAAAAAGGAGTTTGAATTGAATGCTTGTTATTAGCAGAACTCAATTGAACTGATGTGATTGTTCAGTATTATAGCCAAAAATATTTGTTATTTATGCATAACACACTTCTTTTCAAGTTAAATGTGAATATAAGATGCCACAGATTTTACAGTACACCTTTATTTCAGTGTAGGAATAGTGTGCAAAATAAAGAAAATACGATATATATTGTATTGTAATAAATGATAGTATTATTTTAGTATTTAAATGAGGTATTCATTTTTGTAATTATCTTTATGATTAAGATCCATTTTTCATCTTAATAGGTATTGTCCAAGATGTAAAGAACATAGAGAAGCAACCAAACAGTTGTCATTGTGGAGGCTACCTATAGTGCTTATTATACAGTTAAAGAGATTTTCCTTTAAGAATCTTATTTGGAGAGATAAAATTGATAAAATGGTTGACTTTCCCGTGAGGTTAGCACTGTATACTAAATTATTTTATAGAATTTTTTCCCAAATAAAAAAAATTGTATACATATATAAATATATACATGTTTTTAATTATATTTTAGAGGATTAGATCTTAGTCCATATTTCTGTGGCTCTGTTCCTGGTGTTCCTCCAATCTACGATTTATTTGCTGTCATTAATCATCATGGAAGCATTTTAGGAGGTCACTATACAGCTTATGCACGATGTGTCAAGTATTATTTCATTAATTTCTGTGAACTTGCTCTAGTAAATCATTAATTCTTAATTTTATTATTTAATCATTTATACTTAATTAATACAGCCAACTGATAGAAATCACTTGTTCATTTTTAAACAAAAATTTTCTTTCATCTTTAATCACACTTTAAAAAAATGTTTTGTATTGATCAAAGATTGAGTGAATAAAATGATATGATTAGCATATACATTATTCGGATCGCATAACTATATATCATTTTAAAGCTTTTTTTTTTACTATATGTAAATTAAGCTATTTTTAGTGTTTACTTATTTTTACTTTTTATTCAATTATCAATAATTGCCTGGAACTAAAGGTCAAATAAATGTTTTAAAAAATTTTACTAAGCTTTAATTTTGGTGTAGAGTTCCTGAATAGAGAAGGGGAAAAATTAAAGTTTTGCTAGTGTAAACAAACCAAATACAGCTATTTAAATAACTTTACCACATGACTAATTTCTTATTTTCTCTTTCAAATTTTGTAAAAATTATATATTTATTTTATAAATAAAGAGCTGTGTGAAAACTTTTGTAACTTTCAAAATCTGATGTGAATGTTTAATGATGTATAAAATATACTATATATTATAATAATTATCAAGCATATACTGTGGGATGTTTTGTAATTACCTGACCAAGTACATCATTGATTTTCTAGTCTTTTGGATGTAGATTTATGTTTTGCCACAGCAACAGTGATCACCTTATAACTCAACAATAAAGTGATGACTCTTTTATTATACTCATCTCATATCTCTAAAACAATGTAGACTATAGAAACATTTTCTTTGTAAGAAAATTAAAGGATGAAAATCATAACTTAAATATTTATATCTCATTAATTACATATTCTTGGCAATATGCCAGAAAAAAATTCAAGCAATTTGATCTACGAGGTTTAATGTTAATGAGAAAATTTTCAAAACAGTGACTTAAAATATAAGTATCCCACCTGAAAAAGCACAATGCCGTCTATGGTTGCTTAATGATTTAGTCTGGCAGTTATGGAAATTTCAANAATAATCAAGTGAAATTTATTAAAGAATTTATCAATAATTATATATAAATATTTTTTAGATATTTATAAAATACTGGAAATTCCCAGTTATTGTGGTTAATGTTGCTAGGCAAAACACTGCAATAATCAAAACTATGATAATGAAGAAGAATAGTATATGGGAAATAGGAGATTGTACCAAGAATTTTCCAAAATTATGCTTAAAATCTACTATATAAAGCTGAAAAACTGGGTTCTGTCACGGTGTGCCAAAAATTTCCACTAGGGACATCCCTAGCTATTATTTAAATTAACAATAAATTCAGTATATTATTATTTGATGTGATTTTTTGCATTTTTGGCTGCATTTTAGTAGGGTACACCATGAGAAATTCAGTACATTATTATTTTTATTTGTAATAGGAATTTATTATTTATACCACGGAATGACACCGCTGCTGCTAGAACGCCCACTAGGGGGCATTTTGGGCTACTAGAATAGAAGGATTAGAAGTACAAAAAATCTAATGATCTTAATCTTTGTTGTTTTTTTGCTCGGGCAACACTGAGCTCATCTGCTGGTTTTAAATATTATGCTATATAACTTCTCTCCACTTTATTAATGTTTCTAAGAGCATTTTTTATGCTAATATTTTTTCATAATTCTATCAAAGATTTTTTTCTTCTGTTGTTTTTTCAATTGCCTGGTAAAAATCTTACATAAATAATAGTGAGGTAGCAGCCTACGTTTTCATCACAAAAACGTGTATGTTGGACGTTCAGCGCCGCCTTCCTGTAAGCCTATAAGTTTGATAATGGCATTTGATACATCGAGCATGATTCCACTGATGTTCCAAATGCCATTGTCAAACTTCTAGGCTTATAGGAAGGCGGCACTGAACGTCTGACGTACATGTTTTCACGATGAAAATGTCAGCCGCAACCTCTCTAATGTGTTTTAACTATTTAAATCAGTCTCCTGGTACAGGCTGGAGTAATAAAGTCACATTAGATAGTAAAAAATGACTTTAATGTTTTGAAACAAATCATGGGGTTTCATTGTATGACCAGTAGCATTCTCTAAAATTAACAAAATTATAAATTCAAGATTTATGTAGGAAAATTTTGATCTAAGTGATTCAAAACATACTGGGTGCTTGCTCAATTACATTTTAAAAAGTTATTGATGAAGAAATATTACAGATAGAAATTGCATAAAATTGTCAAATAACAACTTAGGAACTAGTGTCAAATCTCAGTGTATCACAAATAAGCATTGTTAAAACCTTTTATGGACTTGAAATGGCCACAAGTAAACAATTTTTAGACTCTACATGCATTAAGTGAAAAAACAAATTGAATTGAATGTCAAAATATATCACATTGTGAAATCAAAAACAATTACCCAAAATTTCATATTTTGAGCTAAAAAGACTAGATGAAACTTTCATTTGGCACAAAAATCTGCAATAACTGGGGTTTACCTGTATTTATTTTGTTTTAAAAGACTATTATAGTGTTTAGTGTAGTTGTAGTGAAATTTGAATGTTTTAATTTGTATTAAATCACAACTTTCTATGTAATATTTTTTATGTTTCATTTTCTATATATAATAATTTTGATTTAATATTTGAAAATGTAAAAATATAACTGCTAAATGATTTCACATTGTGATACATTTTGACATTCAATTCAATTTGTTTTTCACTTAATGCATGTAGAATACAAAACTCGTTTTTTGTGACCATTTCAAGTCAATAAAAAGTTTTAACAATTCTTATTCATGATACACTGAGATTTGACACTAGTTCCTAAGTTGTTATTTGACAATTTTATGCAATTCCTGCCTGTAATATTCCTTCATTGATAACTTTTTAAAAATTGTAACTGAGCAAGCACCCAGTATGTTTTGAATCATTTAGATCAAAATTTCCTGATTGAATAAATTTGAACTGGCAACAACAAAAATACATACATTTCATTTCAGATATGCAATATAGTGATTTCATGATTAAAATTTATCATCTTATTTTATTCAATTGCTGTAGCTTTTTGTATGCTTTATATCAAGTTAAGATCAATGTTCAACAAGACAAAAAATATATATATATATTTGAATACTTTTGATCATTATTATCAAGTTAAATATCAGGCATAACCAGGAAGTAAGTTTCATTTATAAATTGCAACACTAATCAAGGTTGTGTGCATGTGTGTTGAGTTCCTCTTCCCTCTGGAAAGTAATAGACTCCACTTATTTGCAATTGGATTGTGTTGACTCATCATTGTGTGTGTGCTTACAATGTTCAAGAAAATCTAGCAGCCTGCCATTTATGAAATGCAGTCTGTTCTCTGTTGAATGTAAGATGTGTGAAACTGAGACATTTGTTGTCAGCTGTGCAAGATGTATGGAAAATAGGCATGCCATGAGTGGTTCATTAATACAGAGACAGGTGAGAAACTTTAATGAAGGACATAAAAATGTTCATGGTGATCTGCAAAGCAGCCAATCATCTGTTGTTAATGAAAATTTGGTACAGCTAGTGGAAGGGAAAGTTTATGAGGACAGACCATTTCATCACTTTCCTTGTATTTCCCACAAAATTTGTAGTCATTTCTCCATGAAATTGTGTCTAATTACCTACAGTTTCAGAAGTTCAGCTCACACTGTGTGCCAAAGATGATCAGTAAGGAACACAAAATGAAATGAGCTGGCAGTGCATTGACTTTTTTGACATGATAACATGAGTAAAGTAATGCCATATCATTATAAGTGATGAGATGTGGGTATCGAACTTTACTCCTCATTCAAAACAGTAGTCTATGGGGTGGAGGTACACCAAGCAAGAAAAAATTTAAGCAGACTATTTTAACACTTGAAAGATTATGTACACAGTGTTTTAGGACAGAAAAGGCTAGTTTTCTGTCCTAAAACACTAATTTCTCAGATTAGTTTGTGTAGAAATGCTTATAGAATTTATGCCTCCAGACTCAACAATCAAAACAGGAGTCTATCATGAAGCACTAAAACTGTGTTGTGCAATCCAGAACAAGTGGTGTGGCATGTTTAGTTGGGATGCTGTGCTGCTTCATGATAATGCTGCCCATATATTACTGCCAAAATGCAAGATCTCATTAGGACATTCAGCTAAAAACAAATGGATACTCTCTCCAGCAGCCCCAATTTATCACCAAGTATTGATAATTTCTATTTGTTCTTACATTTGAAAAAGTTCCTGGCATCTCCATGAAAATAACAAAATAAAAGAAGCCATGAGCATACTGTTTGTATTGCAGGTATTGTTATTCTACAATATGGGAATACAAAGGCTGATGTCCTGTGACAACAAGTGCATCAACTATAGTGTAAACTAAGTCAAAAAGTAGTGTAAAGTATATACATCCAATGGCAATAATCATCATTTGAAATTAAATTGTTTGTTTTTAATAGTTCTTTAGAACTCGTTTTCTGGATATGCTTTGTATGTGTAAAGCTATGGTCTTAAATTAGATTTAGTATCTGGTTTAATATAACTTTGACTCATATGGTTTATTATTTTAATATATTGAAGAAACCATTTTAGCTTTTATATATAAAGTTAATTTTAAATTTTAAATTATATGATTCAAATTATATGATATAATTTCAAAAACAGTTTTAAAGGCATTACACTAGCTGTTGTTAAAGTTAATAGCAGACAGACAATACTGGATGAATTATATAATAATAATTAATAAATCTTCAAGTTTTACATTTTTAACATGCTCTTTTAATGTTAAGCCACTGAAGCCAGAATTTCTTCTTATTTACTAGCCATACTTAATATTATCAGCCAGTTATTGTTATTAGTTTAGGTTTCAAAGTAATTATAATATAATAAGTGGAGCGTACGGTAATAATTGTTTTATATATATATTATAAAGTATCTAGTAAGAGTTGTAATTAATATGTCTTGGTACTGTGATGCTTATATATATTATATATTATTTATGTGTTAAGACATCTTAAAGAGCATAAAACTTAAGATCATTAAAAGAGTGCTAAGAGCTAATGCTTAAGACCATTAAAACTGCAATGATCTAATAAAGTCATTAATGTTACGTGGTCTACCTATTATTTATCCAATATTGATAGTGAGCACTAACAGTTTTAATCAAAACTTTCTTTGTGATGTTATCAATGCTGTTAGTGTAGCATAGATTAAATGGCTTTTTTTAACCATCTAAATTGAATTTACTATTCAAATGCATATGTTTGTTACATAAACTTTGAAAGGGTGCATTCTCTAATATTTAAAAATTAGTATATTTTATTAATAAAACTAATTGTAATATAATATTTTATTACATGATTATTTTTGTGATAAAATTTTTGAAAATATTTAATAATAATTATTGTTTTAAATTAAATTGTGGATTATTATTGTAAGCCTCACATGGGAGTAGTGATGTCTGAAAATAAAGCAAGAATATTAGAGGAAATTATTTAAAATTTATAATAAAAAGTCGGTTTTTATTAACTATTTATTAAACAATATATAAGTTTTAAAAAACAGATACTCATCAAAAATAGTATAAATTGAAAGATTAGTTTGTGTAGAAGTGTTTAATTGAAAGTCCTCATTATTGTCCTAGTAAAATTAAGCCATTGAGACAAAATTTCTCAGAACAAAAAAATAGTAGAAAATGTTACTTTATTAAAGATACTGGTGATAAGAAATGCAGAATATTTTTAGAATAAAAAGAAAGCAGAAGAAATGATCTAATGATTGATTGTAAAATATTGAATACTAGCTGTTACCCGTGACTTTGCCCGCAGAAGTTTTGCAAGCAAACCCCATTTATATTTAGTATTTCAACAACATAGTAATTGTTATATAACACCTACCGCTGAGAATCAAGCCTACTATTTTCAAATTGATCAGTTTTATGGAATGTTTACAATCATTCTATAATTGAACCAGTATGCAGTAAAAAATTTGAATTTAAAACGGTTCAAACATTTGGTTAAAAAATTGAAATATATAAAAATATTTATAGCAATTTCTGAGATGTTATCAATTTAATACACCTAAGTACTCAATGAAGACTAAACGTAGTCGAAAACAAAAAATCGCATCTAAAACAGTACAGTAGAAGTTGTTCTTCCGGTACTGTGTACTAAACTAACTGTGTACCAAATTTCATCTCTAGGTTCAGCAGTTTTGCTCTGGGCGATGATGAATCAGTGACTCAGTCAGTCAGGACAAGTAATTTTATATATTTAGATAAAAACTAATGAAATTCATTTAATATTTGTAGCAAAATCCTTAAATAAATTTGGAAAGAAGAAGAAAAATTTAAATACTACTACTGGTTTTTTTTGTTTGTATGTTTATCAATATGAAATTGTAATTTATTGAGTTGCAAATTTATTCTCCATTAAATTTTGTGTATTGGCATAGTCTATAGTAATATATTAATTCAGGTACCCATTTTTANATATTATTTATATATATATATTTATACAATAGTATAATTGTTTTATTGATTAATGCAATTACATGAAGGAACATCACACAACTTGCATAAAATCTATAATCAAATTCCTTCCATAATTTTTTTGCCATGGCTAAAAAATGCTGTGATGATTCATTGCTTCAATTCCTGAAGATCTTTAATCACGGCCAGAGAAAGAAATCAGACTACGGTCTGGAGGACACTTACATAAGATTGACCTCATTGTTTTCTAGATCTTGTACAACATCTAACTTTAGAGGTACTGTACTTGAAAATGTACATGTCATTTTTCTGATACAGGATGTTCGGGACTTAAATGAATCATCACACAATATCCATAGAGGAAAACTTTATTAGTAGAATTCAATTATAATGTAAGCGTTGTGACACAGATGTCATATTGTGTGTTTAAGATTTAAACTTTCAGAGTTATTCTAGTGATTGATTTTTATCATGATTGTGATTTCATCGATTGTTTCTAACATATGAAAGTGTATCATTCTTTCTGGATTGCCCTATATTACTATAGGATCTTATATTCTAATTTTTTCGTTCGATGGTTCTTTCTATTTTTTAATATTTGAAGACAAATTTGCCCAAATAGGGATCACCATTTTTTTCTTTTGCATTCTAGACAGTACAGTCTGTCTAGAACACAAAAGAAAAAAATGGTGCTCCCTATTTGGGCAAACTTATCTTCAAATATTAAAAAAAAAAAGGATCTTATATCACAAATTATGAGCCAAATAATAAATTAGTTGAAAAATAAAGTATCTTTCATAATTTATATGATAGAATATAAGTTCTGAAAGATATTTTATTGTTTTATTAATTTTCTATTATTCTATTGTTCAGTGTAGAAATTGGGACTTTTCATAATAGGTAAAATTAACATAATTTATTTTCTATATCAAAATTTTCTTTTTATAAGATTTAAATATACTTGATTCTAAGACATACCAATGATTTTTATGTCAAATTTAGTTTTTTTTTATGAAAATGAAAAAACTTTTAAATAATTAATTTTATTAACTTTGATTAACAGGTGGAAAAACAATAGAAATGCCATGAAATAGGTAATGTTTAGCACTTCTGTTTCCATGTTCTTTACCAAAAATGGATAAGAATGTGCATCTTACTTGTTAGAATCAATGAACAAAAGTGCTGAATCTTACCTGTAACCTTTCTTTTATTATATATTGTAATATCAGTCTTTAAAAGCATTTTAAATGTTAAAAAGGAGTTTGAATTGAATGCTTGTTATTAGCAGAACTCAATTGAACTGATGTGATTGTTCAGTATTATAGCCAAAAATATTTGTTATTTATGCATAACACACTTCTTTTCAAGTTAAATGTGAATATAAGATGCCACAGATTTTACAGTACACCTTTATTTCAGTGTAGGAATAGTGTGCAAAATAAAGAAAATACGATATATATTGTATTGTAATAAATGATAGTATTATTTTAGTATTTAAATGAGGTATTCATTTTTGTAATTATCTTTATGATTAAGATCCATTTTTCATCTTAATAGGTATTGTCCAAGATGTAAAGAACATAGAGAAGCAACCAAACAGTTGTCATTGTGGAGGCTACCTATAGTGCTTATTATACAGTTAAAGAGATTTTCCTTTAAGAATCTTATTTGGAGAGATAAAATTGATAAAATGGTTGACTTTCCCGTGAGGTTAGCACTGTATACTAAATTATTTTATAGAATTTTTTCCCAAATAAAAAAAATTGTATACATATATAAATATATACATGTTTTTAATTATATTTTAGAGGATTAGATCTTAGTCCATATTTCTGTGGCTCTGTTCCTGGTGTTCCTCCAATCTACGATTTATTTGCTGTCATTAATCATCATGGAAGCATTTTAGGAGGTCACTATACAGCTTATGCACGATGTGTCAATTCACAAAATACACGTAGAAATGAAGTGGGTAAGTTGTAAACTTTTATTATTTAATTTATGATGGTAATTTAAATAAAATTTTATATAGTTGTAAATTTCCAGAAAAATATTTTAATGTAAAGAAATTTTTGTTTTATAGATTGGAGACTATTTGATGACAGTCGAGTTATGTATGTACCAGAAGCTAATGTAGTCACAAAGTCTGCATATATGCTGTTCTACAGACAACGTGGAGTGCCATTTACACCAACTAATTTATCTTCTTGTACAAAAACTTCTAACAAAGAACAGAAACAAAGGGAAAATCTTTTAGGACTAGATATAGAATTAGGAAATGTATTGGACAGCAACATTCTTTCATATTTGGGAGAAGAAGCAACAGAAATGGATACTGTAGATTGAGTGCAATTTAAAATAGAACAAATTAACTGTGATAAAGCATCATTCATATACAATTTATTCTTTCTCTATGATAATATACAAAATCATTTGGCACATCATCATGAAAATAGCACATCTAATATGCAATATATATTTATGTTTCTTAAAAAAACCAAAATGTGTACAGTACTATGATATATTTCACAGACAGCTTAATATTATATGTGTTTTTATTACTTTAAAAATGTTATTTATATATAAATACTGTATTTACTCGCATATAAGATGAGGTTTTTATTCATTTCTCACTGTTTCAAAAACCTAGGTCATCCTATACGTGCTTGTGAAGGATTCTTTGCATTTTTTTCAATCATTTTTGTGAACCGTGTATTCTCATCTTTTACTGGATTCTCACCCTCTGTGAGTATCCCGTAAAAGATGCGAATGCACGGTTAAAAAAAAAAATACTTTTGTTTTTAAACACCAGAAGGGTGTTTAAAAACAAAAGTATTTTTTCTGGGTCGTTTGAATCCTTCTTGTGTATTGTCAGGAGTAAAGATGATTAGCAATAGGTAAAGTAAAGCTTTTGAATTGAATTCCAAAATCACACAGAAGCTCGATATAAGTTTTAATCCATTCCCACGTGAAAACAGATGATTATTCGGAAATCAGAATTCGGAAAAACTCATAAGTGTAATTGACAGAGAGTGGATTCGACTGTTAATAATAGGCATAAAAGATTTCCAATCGTCCAGCTTTACACGAAGAAATTATGTTATCGATTTTACAAGATTTTTCCTTAAAGTTTAAAATGCCAGTAATTTCTGCGGGTCAATGTGTGCATTTACGTGCATTTGATATTTTATTTGTGATTAAACTAAATAAAATTAGAATTATATTAATTAATAAATCTAATTTTCTTTATTGTGATCTTTAAAGCCACACCTCATCTTATAAGCGAGTAATATGGTATATTATTTTCCTTTTTTTGGGTTAGTATCTTGCAACTTGACAAGAAACCTGAAATTGGAAATAAATGAAATAAACCAACATCTCTCAGCAATCTCAGATAAATATTTCAGCTATAATTGGTAATTATATTAATATAATAATATATATCTGTAAATATTTTTGAACTCATTTAAAAATTTATTTCAGCAACATTATATTTTATCTATACAAAACAATATTTATGATATGGGTGAGTGTTGTGAATTCTCTCAGTAATAAGACTACTACCTCAAACAATATTGTCAAATTTAAAAAAAAAATGACTCCATTAGTAATGTTATTCCTGAGAAATTTGTGTTTAGATGTCGTACTCGGTACGATTTTGTTTAATATTTCGGAGAATTATATATACATTTCTCCGACGAGATATTATATTATGTTGACAGTAATTAAATGCAGTCTAATAAGAATTTTGTTTTCTGCTTCCTGAATTTTTCTTTAACACAATGTATCAATAAGAAATTAAATAATATCTACATAGAAATGAGATAGTAGAAAATTTATGGGCTTAGTACAAGGTCAACTGATTTGAATATCACACTCTGCAGATATCCTTGATAGTAATGAAGATTGTGTAATCTTAATTATAAATAATTTATATCAAACCATATCCATTCATTTTCTCCATTTAAGATTGAGTTTTCAGTTCTTATTTCTCCGTGACATGATTTTCTACGAAAAATACAATCTGATTCATAATTAGACATAAAAAAATAAATAAATGTAACTGTAAGTCTGGTTAAGTGTAGGAAAGACATTAAAATCAAATTGGGTGACTGTTTATTATTATTAATATATTTTTTTCTGTAACTAAATAAATAAGTATTTCCTAACATAAACAAATACTGCAGTCTGGATATACCGTGTGTATATAATTTCAAATTTTTTAAAAATCTAATTAGTCATAACAAAATATATATTTGGTGTCTGAAATTTAACAATACTACTATATTATTACAGTAGGCAAATTTGTTAAAGCATATATTATGCACTGTAAATCTTTAGAGTTTTGGTTAGGGTCCAACACAAATGTCACTTAGGTGTTTAGTTAACAAGAAAAGAACTCGGTCGTTTTGCAGTTCAATAACACCTTAAGTTAAGGGTCATTGGACTGTCCCAAAATCCAGATCCTCCAAAAGATGCTAACATAACTGTCCTTGACCAATGTCTGGGAAATTTAACAGTTGCCATATGGGATCGGGTGCTAGAAGTTAGGAACTGTCATTGCTGTTGTCGGTTGGACGGTAACCCGACCTTATGATCTGCTAAGTCATCTGGTGGTCGACTTTCATTTATGATGGAGAGCGTGCTCTAAACTCCCCCGACATCTGTAAGTCATTATATCTCATACTCTTCCCGGACATATGTCAACGTAGCTGTTGTATCTTTCAGAAAGGATGGAGTAGTGAAGAGGAAGCGATGGAAACTAAACGATTTCCGATTGTCACCTACAATTCTTTTTTTCACGTCGGCACATAATTTCGATACCGTTTAACCATAATTAAAACGTACAAGAGTATCGTCTAACTCCACAGTTGGCACTAAAAACTGTGTATCGGTTGCAGCCTTCGGAATTAAAACTGTAGTAATAAAAGCATGAATGCGGATCAGTTTACCGGCTCTATACTTAGGAATTGCGTGCCGAATTCTTATCATCTCCCAGAAACTTTTATTTAAAGAGTTACTTAAAAGAAGGACAGTTTAGAATAGAAGATTAGATAAATGATATTTTAAAGAGGTGCATCTCTCTCTGGATGCACTTAAAACTTTTGCAACATCTGTCGGCCGGAAGGGGCCATGTGGTATTTTCAATAAAAGATGCGGATATTTTCTTTCATTGTTTAGTGTAGATTGTAACTTACACTTAACACTTATAATAAATACAAAAATTATTTATGTTATTTCACAATTTTTTAGTTATTTTTAGCCATTAAAATATTCGTGAATCATATATTTTGTGCAATATTTTTTCATTAGTATTGTATTGTTGGTGGATAAAATTACTGCGATAATAACGATTTCCAACGAAGTTTTAAAATTATTTCCGCATTTTAAGTTTTCGGGGATTCTATAAATAAATCATTTTTTAAAAAATGTATAGAGTTTAATATTTCATAAACCAGTTTTTATGCCACGATGTTTTGTTCTACATCAAGGAACCGCAACGAATAACAGCGTTGTGTGTCATATACGTATTAAGTCAAGAAAAGTCACTCACGTCTTATTTTTAATCTTAAATCCAGTTTTACGTAGAAAAATTTATGTACCGCAACATTAACAGTTTTTCGCTAAATCTTTCGACGATTTATATAATTACGAGGAAGTAAGTGTCTTTCTTTTATTAAGCTACACTAAAGGGAGGAGTTAAGTCACGTGACGGAAATGACGTCTAGTGGACGAGTTCAGAGGCACTGTGACTTACTACCTGTTGCATGTGCTGGAGTGGAGGCAAGATGAAGAGTTGTGCACTTTTTTTATGGTTATTTTCTTTAGGTTTATTAGTTAACGGTAAGAAAATCTTTTATCTTTTTATTTACTATACACCTAATATTATTATTTTTTTATATTTAAAATATTATTTTTCTTTCACGTAAGATGTTAAGTTTTAATCGTATTTTTGGAGATTTAGAATATGTATATATGATTATAATTTAGTATTTTTGTATACTTGCCTAAGTTTTTAACATTTAAGAATTATATTAATTTTCTATTATCTATATTTGATGTAATTTTAGAGATGTCTCTTTCCTGTTTAAGAAAAGAAAACACGTTTAAAATAGAAAATTAGACGTGTTCACCGGCTATTTAAAGTCTAAATAGCCGGTGAACACGTCTAATCAGAGTTTAATAATACTTTGAATATTGTTTCTTATCGAAGATCATTTATTAATTCGGTCTATTTACTTATATAATTTTACAAATGGATGGTTTGTGCAAAAATCCAGTCTTTTAATGGGCGATCCGTAACTTTTTTTTCATACAAAAGACCTATTTTTCTTTGACAGATCAGTCACGATTTTTATATAAACAGGAAGTAGTAGCCTTCTTTCGGTTCATTGGAATTTTTTAAACTAATTTTAAAACATTTTCTTAAAGTTTCCTCCTGAAAACTGATTGTCTCCATGCCAGAGTTTAACTCGTTTTAATGCAAACGATCGCCTTTACTGACCTCTTTCCGAGCAAATTGGCCATGGGCACGCAAACTCGAATCCTTCTTCCTTTGATCTTCTAGTCTATAAAACGGTCTATTAATTTATTTTTAATTAACAATTCAATAAACGTTTGTGCCCAAACTCTAGCTTCTTTGTAGATCTACGAGAGTCAGTGTACGGTAAATTCGAAAAAGAAAAAGAAAACATTTAATTGGTCGCTCGAAAGAAAACTAAGGGGCGATGAAAAGAGATATTTGACAAGTTTCAAAAGATATCTTCCCGCTGTGTATGTAATAAATGCGGGAAAATATTATCTTTAATGGCGTTGACAGAGTTTTTAAGTATTTTTGCTACAAAAACAAACAACTTTATGTCTCCGAAATGTACAAGATGGACAGCGTCATGTGCAAGCGTTATGGGAGTGCCATTTGTCAATTAAATATACTTTTTACGTTTCAAGGGTCATCTCGGGTTCTCAGTCTAGACGGAGATTAGGATCCAGTCTGATTCCCTGTAAAAAGGAGATCTATTTCGCTCCAACAATTTTTTTCGAGTTGACAAATTTAATTTACAAGGCTATTAATTAGTAGGGCAGTGGGTGGTTTAGTATAAGTTTAGGGGCTGTTTTTCCTCTGGGAAAAAATGAAAAAACTCGCCTCGAATCTTTCCGAAACAGAAATTGCCCATATACATCACGTTTTCTCCCTTTAGGCGCCTTTACTAATGGGATATAATATTGCACCAGTTTAAAACGAGTAATTACTACAACTACAAATTACAATCGGCGATACAACATTGTAAAAAAGCTCTTTGTATTTTAACTTTTTTCGTATATAAAACTCTCTTGGAAAATTTGGGGTAGGTTTTTTTTTTTTGTTTTGCTTGATAGATCAAAGAACGCCTTATTTATTCCTCATTAGATTTATGGCTTTTTGAAATTAAAACGAATTAAAGCCAAGAATTGAAGAGAGATTATAAAGATTTATTTGTTAAAATTTAGTATAAAAAGAATTAATTGAATCAATTTCTTAATTTTCTTTTTAAATAATCGAGTCCAACGAGCTACACACTTTCATAAATTATAGCTGGTGGTATGTTCCTTTTCAATTGCAGTTGTACTTAATGACGAATTAATGAGGTCACATTACAAATAACTAGTGATGTATAGTAATTAAGAATGAGTAATACTCATTTTTATTATTATTATAAATAAATATCGAAGGGTTTATTAACAATAATGTGGCAATTTAATCGTATAAGTAGCTCATTCGCAATCAGTTCTCAAGTACTTCTATCGCGACTCTTATCAGATTTACTATTATTTAATGAGGATCACTTAGTTCCTGTTTTTATTTCGTTTCTTGTTAAATGCGACTATTTTCACTAGAAGGAAAAAAACATTATCGAATTTTGTAATTAAGTAAAATCGCGCCAGTGAATCTGATGATTCAATTGATGTTCGAGAATTCATCGGTGCACGAAATCGTAGCCGCTTGGATGCATGAATAAATCCAAACTTATGCTCCACCTTTCTGTATAAAGAATCGCGCCTTTATATTTCGTCATTGTCGGGTAGTTATAGAATGGTGAAAGTCATGGACACAAGCATTGATATAACAATGCAACTTTCATGTTCGTGCATTGGAAATTAAGTATTTCCCATACGAAGTTAGATACTTGAAAGGTTTCTGCGTTGAAATCATTTAACGTTTGAATAGTTAGAAAGGTTACTGTATCGATATCAGGAAGGAAAAATTTGTTTTTTCTTAACAATTGCTAATTACTATTAAAAAAAAACATTATGCCTTCGGGCCCTATACGCGCGTGAACGATTATCTGATTCATTCTCTTACGTCATTTTAACACGTTTTGTTATTTTAAACACTCGACTCGATTCTATGATGATAAAAATGTATTTTATTCTTGTTTAAAAGTACCATAAGCTTCTTGCGAGCTTCGAGCGATATGCCAGTGCAATGTACGATAACTCGGTTTATACAGTATTTACACAATATAAGTTTAAACGTTGCGTAAGAAATCCATTATATACGTGTTATTAACAGTGAAAAACTCGATTGCCAAGAAACATTATAAAGATTTCGAGAGGAGTTTAACTACATATAAGTCATAACAACTGACTTCAGTCGACATCGTTTTATTCAGAGCAGCCACAGTTCTTGTATTTTAACGTTTCAGATCACGAAATGGGTCAAGTATAAATGTTGACCTTCCTGACAAACTCTTGAAACATGACAAGGGATGAAAGATAGCGTGAAACACGAGAAACCACCACAAGTAGGAGGCATTTCGTACTTAACGAAGGCTGTTTGATGAGGATGTCGTGTGAATTATGTCAATAGACATAGATAAGTGGAAGTGACTGATGAATCTTGAATGTAATACGGGCAAAAATATCCCGAGACATGTTTTTACATGGTATTAACTTGTCGTCTTATCTTCGATAACTCGATTAGCTAAAACAAAATATGATTCTATGATATATATATATATATATATTTGAATAAATAACTTATTAATATTCTAAAAATAACAAACTGTGTTCCTTTCACTTCCATCGAGTCTTTGTGATGTATACTACTAACACAACTCGCATTATTCAATGTCCGTATCCTGAACAAATAATTGCAGTAGAAGTATATGTAGATATTTTACATACGCTGTTTAGTCGAAAGCAAACGAGTGATCATGTCGATTATAGTTTTATCGTTGTTGGTAATCCATATTATTATTGTCCCGTATAATTTTGAGACTATTTGGCTATCAGACCACTATGATCTCATACCAGGTTTGTGTCTTCTTCTTTCCTTATATTTGTTATTTTAAATAATAATCTATATAGGTTTTAGTGATGTATATTCAGAGAAAAAAAAAGTTTACTTCTGAATATTTCGTCAAAATTTTATGTATCTTTAATTCAGACATATAAAATATTCCGTTATTAAATTTAAATCGGGTATTCTGTAATAAATATCAAAATATAAGGTTATATAATGTATTTTTTTACTTTTCACCCGCCAGCACCTTCGGGTGTTTGCATACTTATCTTGGATTCGGTCAAGTCCTCGGAGACAAAATCGAGTGAGGGATGGACCCAACATATCTGGGTCGAACCCAGTCGTGTGAATCTTTTTAACTGGGTTCGATCCAGATAATCTGACTGGGTTCTGACCAGCAGATCCCTAGAGCGGTATTGATGACTCTTGGTATATTCAAGGGCATCGAGAGACGTCGCCGTGCTCGGAGGAGGAAAAATATTACATGGACTCCGAGTAAAGAAGTTATTTAAAAATTTGAGTTTTTCTTATGGATTTTATTGCTTTTTTTAAATAAAAAAAACAATAGTTATTTATTACAATAGCGCATGAAAAACAAAACAAATTGTGGGATGATGTCTGGACCCAGGGAAGTTTTTCCTCGCCCTCATCGGCCCTGGATATTTATATTGTTGATATTAATGGTCGGATGACGGTAGTGTTTACTAACTTAATGCCATGCAACCATCTATTACATAATATAAGGAAATTTAATAAAATATTCACGCCTACTTTTTAAAACCAAGTCGTATTTTAATCATTTACTTAAGAAGTTGTATATATGTATATATCGTTCATGAATCATATTTAGTAGAATTACAGATGATGAATGTTCATTCAGTACTTTTTTTTTAATGTAATTATTCAACATAAATTATTTTACGGATAATGAAGTTCTGTCTATGATTCACTGCATTTAAGTCATATCTATTTTGAGAATGTATACGTTTTCTCGTTATATACACATGAAACTATTTTTGATTTATTTTCGCATATTTAAAAATAAGTTATGTTACATTTAATTATTAAAAATATAATTCTAACATTATATTATTGTTTATAGGAAAATTAGTGTTTCGTCCATTCTTTCATCAACCACGCATCTACGAAAATGCTCCTCCCGGTGTCCATGTGACTACAGTACACGCTTATGATCCTGACTCACCACGAAAGTTAGTTACATATGAAATGTTACAAGTACGAGATCACAATTACTTTAACATTGATGAAGAATCCGGTAATCTAACCACATTCCGAAATATTAACAAAACAGCTGGAGGAAAATTTGAGGTAGGATCATAATTATTGTAACATCAGACGAGATACCTTTCAAGGACGATATTTGCCATCTTTTTCAGGTAATCGTCGTTGCTAGTAGCGATGGAATCTCCGAATTCGATCATTTGACCATATCTGTGACAGAATTCAATCAATTCGCTCCGCAGTTCGAGAGAGAAGAATACGAAGGAGAAATTCACATAAATACATCTCTCGGTACACCCGTCTTAAGAGTTTATGCACACGATGACGATCCAATTTCTCAAAATGCAGAAGTTTATTATAGAATGGATCAGAATGAGTCTAGTAAATATTTTCAATTGAATCAAGATTCTGGTGAATTATCTTTGTATATAAGTTTACATTCCGCTCCGAGAAGATTGGTTTTTGGAGTATTTGCCGAAGATGGAGGATCACCCAAACGATGGGCTCAAGCACAGATTAAATTGTTCGTTAAGACTATATCGGGTAAGATTTTCGTGTTTCTTTTTTTTTTTACTGTAAAGAGTTTCTTTTTTTAAATAAATTTTAATAATACGATTTCTTACAGAACCCGTTAATGTAACCATCTCTAATATTACCGAGTCTTCGGCCAAAGTATGTTGGTTTCAGCCATTGTTTGGAGAAACTGAAGGTTACGTTGTGACTTATCACGAAAAAAATGTGGAAAAATTTGGTGCTTCTGTGAAGAACATTACGTCAACGACGAAACTAACTTGTACCGTTCTCGGTAATCTTCGACCTCAAAAGGAATACGTAGTTTCGGTTACGGGACGTAATCCTTACGAAATCGGACAAGCTAGCATTAAGATGAGCTTCACTACAACGCCAGATTGTAAGTAGCGTATATATTGGATTATAATTTTTATGGTGTTAAAAAAAAGAATTGAATTTTATAACTGTTTATTTTTAGTCTGTCGACGTAATATCTGCAAGCGTGGAAAATGCTTCAAAATAGCCCAAGAACCTGGTTACCGTTGCGAATGTGATCATGGTTTTTACGGTAAGATCTGTGACTTGTTCGATCCCTGTTCTGAAAAACCTTGTGGTGATTATGGTGTATGTCACAACACGTCCCACAACGACTATCACTGCGAATGTTTGGAGAATTTCTCGGGTAAAAACTGTTCGGATTTTAATCCTTGCTCAGTTCATCCCTCACCTTGTAAAAACGGAGGAGTTTGCGAGATGATCCGAAGTCGTGAATATCGCTGTCGCTGCAAAAACGGATATTCCGGAGAGACGTGTCAAGATGTGTCTCCGGATGCTTGTTTTTCTTCTCCTTGCACGAATTCCGGCGTATGTCACAATCTTAACAATTCTGAATATAGATGCGAATGCGGCGAAGGATATTCGGGTAATTCATAATTATTCATCGGATTAATAGAATAATATAGAAATATTTAGTGTTCTTCACGAATTTTTTTTTATTTATCAGGGAAAAATTGCGAATATGATGTAGAAGAATGCTCTTCGTCTCCCTGTAAAAATGGAGGATCTTGTTTAGAAGGTATAGGTGTGTTCAGTTGCCATTGCACAACCGGATATTACGGTACTCTTTGCGAACGTAAAAGTAAGTCTAATATTTTGCAATTGTATAGGCCTATATTATATAAATTGATATAATTAATATTTATTCTACGAAATCGATAACAGAGGAGTGTCAAATGGATGTCGTGCAGACGGATAAAGGAACATTTTTGTGGAATTCCACAGAGCATGGTATGATCGTGCTTATAAAATGCCCTTTCGGTACTTTGTATCCGGCAAACGAAGAAATAGAAGGATACGCTAAAAGAAGTTGTCTGCTTCTATCAGATGGTTCGGTTCAGTGGAGCGAAGTGAATGCGAATAACTGCCAAGCGGAGGTATTTTTCTTGTTTCGTTGTGTTTTCTGTAAAACTTTACGTTAATTAAATAACTAACCGTACGAAAATTAATAGGGATTTCGAGCAGCGGAAGAATTAGCTGGCGAGTTGCAAGCTCTAACTAGTAATCCAGATAAAGTTAGTCCCAAAGAATTCCAACAAGCAGCCAGTCAAATAGAAGCCATCGTACAATACGCGGTTCAAAACCAAAAGGTAAATTCTAAAGATAATTCGGAATTGAAATGCATAATTACATTCACGGGCTTAAAAATTGTTTTATAAGCGAATGGTGATTCATTTTGTTATTGTTTTGATAAATTGCAGCTCGCCTACGACATGGTTTCGGTACTAAGCAACATGTTAGATGTTAACGATAACGTGTACGAGGTTGGAGACGAAGATGGAATTGTCACTAAAAAGTAAATAAAATTTTATTTTATCGCTTTAAAATTTTAAACTACAATACATTTTGTTTAAGTTCTTTGTACAAATAAGCTTATTTGAACAGGTTCTAAAATAAACTTTGTTGTATAGAACAAATATTCTCTTCTCTTTTTATATAGATTAGTACAGGTTGTGGATACTTTTGCATCGAATGTTAAATTAAGTCCCGGAGAGAAGGTCGAATTTTTTACACCAAATATTGTGATAGTTGCATCGAATCCTAGCGAAGTATCGGGGGATGGTTTGGGTTTCTCACCGGATCCCGGACGTAGAAAAAGAAATGCCGACTTCCTTCTAAATTCTCAAGTAAGATATAATACAAAACGATTCTTTTTGAACGAAATTGCCGATTTATTTCGTATTTATTCGATTTAAATTAAATATATATTTTTTTAAATATAAACGAAAAGCACGCTCGTTTGTTTGTTTATATCGACTTTTCCAAAATTTGTTTTTGAATCTTCGGGGGTCATCTTATTTGCCAGCATTTCGCATACAGAATTTTAAACGTTTACTTAAATTATTTTTAATTCTTTTATATTATTTTATACGGAAATTAATTTTCTCCAATATCTCTTTACTTCATATAAAAAAAAAGTATGCGTGAAAATAACGATTAGTATTGATGAAATGCGAATAAATCTTTTTATTTATAATTTATATTCAACAAATTATTCTAATTATCTTTAAAATTATAGACTAATATTTAATTCCCTTAGAGAAAATCCATAAAACACTCGATCTATTTTTCAAATGTTTTGTTTTTCAATGGGATTTTTTATTAGTTTTTTTTTTAGTTCGATATTTACTCGAGGGAATCGAAGACCGAATTTATTAGCGATTAACGAGTTAACATATTTATGGATGAACGAATATTCGTTCATTTGAGAATCATACAATAAATAAGATTCTCATGCATATATCTATTGCCTTGTATCTACCAGTCGACCCCCCTATAACACTGTTGATAATTCCGTTTTATATGAATTCCATGTTGTACGAGTCACTTAGATTTTACAAATACATGAGCCGTTCACAGCCCAGCACACGTATTTGTAAAATATAACTGGCTCGTACAACATGGAATTCATATAAAACGGAATTATCAACAGTGTTATAGGGGGGTCTACTTATTTTACTATATATATATATTCTTAAATATCTAATTAGTGAATCATCATTATATGTTTTTTTTACATCCGATCTAGTATTTAAACTTTGTAAAATTTCCATTTTGTAACCTTGGAAGATATTTTTGAAAGTAGGAGTGCATAGTTAATGATTTAACTAATCAGCAAAAGCGTGCCACCATCTGCATCTCAGTCAACGGCCATTTTAGTTATTATCATTCCAGCATGCTGGAATTTGATCTTTTTTTTTTACTTTTTTAATTAAAATCTTTACAGATATTTTAAATTTCAAACATTTTCTGTAAATAATATTTTCTCCATAAATAGATTCCCGGCATTACTTTGCCCAACGAAGTGTTTAATTTAGCGAAACAAATTATAAAAGACATCAGAGTGAAGTTTGTTTCGTATAAAAACGATAAGTTTTTCCGGTCCAGGAAATATAATAAGACAAGATGCCAAAATACTGAGCCGTGTCACGAATTGAAAACGTTTCCAGGTATTATACTGTAAGAGTTTTTATTTCTAAACATCTATTTTCGTTCTGTTTAATTAATATAAAAGGTTTCCTTTTCAGATAGACAAGTCCTTCAGGCAAGCATCAATAATATTTCCATTTCTAATCTGACCGATCCCGTTGTTTATGTCATTCCTACAAATAATAAGCAAAAATACTTATGCGTTTACTGGAACGATCACGGTATGTGAATTAAATCCTAAATTTATTTATTTATTTTTTTAAAGTCTCGATAATTTAGTTAAAATTTGTATGATTTTACTTAATTTCTATCAGAAAGAGAATGGTCGTTGGATGGTTTGATCACTAACCAGACAGAAAATAAAACGTTTTGTTTTTCTAATCACTTGACCGCATTTTCTGTTCTTTTGGTAAGAAAGATTTAATTGTATTTTCAATAAAAATAAAACATTTTATATGATAAATACTCTTTATTTTAGGATCCCACTCCGTACATGGTTATACCTAAACAACACGAGAAGGTTCTGTCTATAATTTCTTATATTGGATGCGCTTTATCTTTAACTGGTCTTTTCCTAACTATTCTCACTTATTCACTTTTTGGGTAGGTCATTAATAAATTATTATTATTATTTTTATTATTGGGATTTAAATTAACTTAAAAAGGTTATTTGTAACAGGTGCCTGCATCGCGATCATTCCGGCAAAATCCTCTTGAATCTTTGCATTTCTCTAGCGCTGATGAATATGTCATTTTTATTGGGATCTCATCATAATTCTCCCAAACACGGACACAGCGTATGTTTGTCGGTAGCAATATTGACTCATTACTTCTTGCTGACTTCTTTAGCGTGGATGTGCGTGGAAGCTGTAAACATGTATCAGCTTTTAATTCACGTTTTCGCCTCGGCAGAGACACATTTTCTACTGAAGAGATTTATTTTGGCTTGGGGTAATTGAATTTACTTATTAAAAAAAATATTTATTATTTAAATCATTATTTAAAAATGTGAAATATCTACAGGAGGACCTTTCGTTATCGTGTCTATCGCTGCGGGAATCGACATTAATCAATATTCTAATCAAAACGATTAGTAAGTATTATAATATATTATATTAGTAAAACACTCGTTCTATTTATATTGTTACTAATATTGGATATTTTTATTATCTTAGTTGTATGCTATCTCCATCCAATCCATATATATACTACATTTCGTTTCTCGGTCCGTCTTGCATTATTCTTTTAGCGAATTTGATCGTATTCATTATGGTGACGAAAGTCCTCTTCACCCCAAGAATGACAACTAGCATTCATATTAATAGAAACGGGTATACGGTTACCGCAGCTCAAGTCAGAGGAGCATTTACGGTTATGGTGCTGCTGGGTGTTACTTGGATTTTCGGTGCATTCGCCGTAGGAGAAGCCAAACTGGTATTTCAATATTTATTCTGCATTGCAAATTCTCTACAGGGGTTTTTAATTTTTATAGTTCGCTGCCTTCATTATCACGAAGCACGCAATGCCTGGCTACAACTCTTTCAAACTGGTACATTGAAGAAATATCGAGGAGTTGTACCACCCGGTGTATCTTGGTGCACCAATTCTAATTCTGTTAACAAGCAGAATGGTCATTCTAGGACAACTCGATTGGCTAGCGTCAGCAGCGAAACCAATAGCATAATGTGGAATCGTAAAGATAGTTCTACTTCGACTTGCAATTCTCAACTGATCAATGAAAACAAAACCAAACAAATAAATAATTTAAAAAACACTATTAATCAAAGAGAGATTATAGAACTGGGCAACGAAAAAATATAAGTAGTAGTCGCACTTTTTACATTTTAAATAGCATTTTTCCTTGTACAGAATCGATAAGTGGTATTAATCGATTGTATTTAATGGTTATGTGATAATTTATATTCATTTTTTATTATTTTTTTTTCTGCATCTCATCATCATTTTTACATCGAAGCACGTAAGTAGTTTAGGAAATATAAATCGACCCATCGACTTGTGCCAATTACCAATAACAATATTTTTTACGTTAAATCACCTCGAAATACCAAAGACGTTGACTGTAAAACAGTAATTAAAGTTGATATATTGTATCGAAACGAATGTTAATTCATAATTTAGTTACTGTAAATAAATAGACAATAAATTTTATTACCAATAATTGAAATATGTACATTTTTCTCTTTCACTTTTTTTTTTTCTTTCTTTTTACAAACATTTTACATTGTTTAATTTTGCATGAATTCTTACATTTAATAAAATAACATAAGAATAAATCTATATTTAAAATAATTATATTGTATATTTAATTACGTATTAATAAAATAATAATTTAACTTATAATACTTTTCAAAATTAATTAATTAATTAATCAATTAAATACATAAGAATATATTTATTATTTTTATATTTTATCCTTTGAAACGAAGCGCANAGCAAGTCTTTAAAGTTACTTAATCTTTGAGAGTATTGTAAAAATCATTTATAATGATTTATGAATATTTTTAAAACAAAATTTATGTAAAAAATAAAATATTTTATTAATAAAATATCGAAAAAAGTTGTAAAATTTCGAAGAGAATTTTCTCTTAGTTGATAAATATAAATGTTTATGATTTCTGAAAACTTTGCAAATCAATAATACCAAAACGTAGATAAGAATGTCTTTTTCAAACATAATTAAGACATAAAAAAGACGTCTTTAATTAAAACTCCCGTTTCCTTTATAAAAAAAATTTAAATTAAAATTTTATAATTACGTTTTTTTGTTGTGGGGTATTTATCGGTTTTGTTATTAGGAATAAAAATAGAATAGGAACAATGAAGTTAAATCCACATTTCAAAACTGCATAATGTTCGAAAGAATGTTTTAAAAATTCTTTGAAGTTGGTTACAATGAGGAGGTGATTTATTAATCCAGACGAAGTAGATTAATGAAAAAGAAGCAGAAGAAGAAACAGATAGACTGAGCGGGAATAAAAACGCTTTATCATTTCTCTTAATTTGACACATTTGCAAGAAAGGTAATCAATCCTGTCTAAAAAACTGAAATGAGCTGCTAGATTTTCTGCGTAAAGTATAGGTTTTTTGTGGTGGGATAAGTTAAATGAAATTCTTTAATAGTAAATATTCTATTGTGGTTTAAGATACACAACGTTTTACGAAATTAAAAGTGTCTTAGAAGAGATATCATTTTTGTTATTGACTGAGTTTTATATTTTCAAACTTTACTCGCTATTTTACCGAATAATTTAGTTTGCGAACGTATTTAAATGTAGTATCATGATTATATTGTCCTTCTCGGTCATTTGTTATGACATATCTCATGAATTCTAGTGATTAACGTCAAGATTATGAATGAGTTCTAGCGTGCTACATTTATCTGTATATTTATAATGAGTATTAATCCTTTTATCTCTCGAGTTAAATCAAATTGGAAGATTATCTCTTTATCGCCTTCTTGTATTGTTATATATATATATTTATGTCTAAGGCACGAAGTCGAAATTCATTTTATTGATTTCTAGAACGTTATAATTAAGGAGTATATTAAGCATTTCAAGGATAAAATTAATTTATTTAAACAGATTATAATTATTAAAATCATTATATGTTTAAGTTAATTTTACGTTAGAAAATCGAGTAAAAATATTCTAAAATATTTTTTATCGATAAAATATATAATTATAGATTGTTTGTTATTTTAAATTTCATATATATTATATTATATATATATATTAGAGTGAATGATTATTGTCTAGTAAGTATAACTTCTTCTAGTGCATTTATCAGAAAAATTTTAATTATTTGAATTTTTAATAGTTTCATTATCTCGTATATTTAAAGAGATTAAATCAAGGACGTCATAACTCGGTGGGAGAACTCTTTTAATTGTAGCTATTTTACAAAACAGATCATTATTTACTGATATAATAAATTAATAATAAATGAACCAACCTTCTTTTTTTATTAAATATATACACTATAATCTATGCATTTTGTACACGTGTATAGCACAGAGGAAGGCGTGGGTGATGCAACCTTGACCTCTGCTTGATCGTCGATCGCTTGTTTACAGATGCCAGAGCGGAAAGTACGTGCAACACAACTTAGTTATTGTGTAAACAGTTGTGACTACGCAAACTACTTGTCAACAGTATACTGTCAAGGATGTGAGAAAGTTACTGACGTAGAATTGTAATCTGTTAAAAAATATATATATATAAATGAAAAGAAAAGAAAAGAAAAAGTAACAAATCGTTGCTAGTCACTCTTTAGTAATTATTACAAAATTTTTACGAGATTAATTCACTAGATGTCACCGCTTTATCGGTGTTTTAAGTGTTTTTGCCAACTGTTGCCATAAATAACTTAGACTTATTCTTTTCAAGAATTAAGTTTCATAATGGATAAAATTATCGGGAGTTATTTTTATACTTTGCTAGTACTTTACTAGTAATTCTGATAATTCTAACTTATGATTTATCTTTTTCTTTTTCTTTAAAATAGGTAAATCAAGTCAAAATTATGATCTTTTTCTAAAATATATATATATCAATTTTAATATATAACTTTGGTCTTTATTTTTATTATTATTTTTTTAAATTCTCATTGGTCACGTTTGCATTTTGTTTATTCAATCTATTGTTAATATCGTGTAAGAAGAATCTATTCCATATATTTTAAGAAGAAAAACAAAAAAAAAGGGGGGGAGCGATGAAAATTTATATGTAGTCTATTTAAATAGAAGAAATATAACACTAAAATCCTAAAGATAGATTTATTGGAAAAATTAAAAAACGAAGTCCTTTCTATATCTCGTTCCATAAGATATTAAAGGTGAGATATTTTCTACATAATTTTAAAATTAATTTACAGATTATTGATTATTTTAATTAGTAANGAAATATCGTCCAAAACATAAAAAAATAATTGCCTTTCAAAGCTGTTCAAAAAACGTTATACAATGTTTTCATTTAGAATTTATATTTTAGCTTTATAGTATATAGAATGAAAATTCTTTATTTGAGATATTTTAAAGTTTTTATATTTATTAAGTCATTCTGACTAGAAGATAAATAAATTGAAAGACTAACACTTTGTTGGATTGAATAAAATCCATAATATATATTCACGAAGTAAAATTTATATTAAAAAAACATTGAAAAACTTTTTATTTTATATTTTGACCTTATTTCTATCAGACCCAATATATTTTTGTGACCAAAATAGAATTTTCCATTAGATATTTGTCAAGTTATAGAAATATGAATTGAAAATCTTCATATTTCTCATTGAAAAGCATCTCTCTATTTCTATTTCTAATCAATTTTGATGTATTTCTAATATATTTTATAATTAATATTAATTATTTCGTTGGTTATACGCTTATGTACAGATTGTTTTGTGATACTTATCTCAGAACCTAAAGTAGCACTCGACTGTAGAGCTTCAGAACAAGAAAAATCCAATTCCTACTCCGTATAACAAGTACTCTTACCAGTTATAAGATAAATATACTTTTCTATTATTATTATTATATTATGCCAATTCAATTAATTTAATGAAAAGAGAAAGATTTTAGGCTACTTTTGCAATAAAAAAACAAAAAAAAACAAATGTAGATGAAATTCAGAATTTTTATAAATCTATGGAAAAAAATTTTACTTTTAAATGACTATTTAACTTTTACTTTTAAAAACAACAAAAACATCTGTTTTATGAACACAATTGTATCAGTAAAGAGAAATATAATAATAAAATAGAAGAGTGATACAAAAAAATTAAATCTTATATTAACTCGGTTATATATAATAAAGTTAACATAAAAATCATTAAGTGATACAGTTATATCAAGTAGTTCAAATATAAGTAAAGTTCTATCCGTATCGTTAGCCGAAAAATTCACATAAGTATAATACAAATTTATCCTTTATTTCAAAATGCTGTGATATATTTTGGCTTTAAAAGTCATCATCAGACAGTACAAATAACACCTTATAACCGAACTATTTTTAATAAATTGATTCGTTTTAAGGTGTTTTTTTACTGCCTGATGACGGCTTTTAAAGCCAAAAACGTGACAGTTTGTTGAAATAAGGGATAAATTTTCATCATACTTCATACTTCAATACTTCTAATATAAATTTTTGGCTAATGATACAGATAGAACCCTATATAAGAAAGTTCAAGAAGTCTACGAATAGGAAAAAAAAATTAATTATAAAATAAATTCAGTTCGTTGAACAGAATAAAAAATAAACGTGTATGAACGTTAAAAAATTGCTATTATTAGGAAAGGATATGGCTTCTTTCTGTGAGTAATTATAGTTGATATAATCTATATGAAAACATAATAATAATAAATGAAGCCTTAAGCTAAGAATGTAATTCAAGTTTCGTCAGATACCTTTTAATTAGGCTTTTATTAATACTCTTCGACTTTGATAGGCGAATTTTGTATAATGGCATATCACTAAATTTATTTATATAAAATTTGATTTAAAAGTTATGATTATTATAATATAAATTTATATTAAAATTGAAATTTAATCAATACTTTATCAGTTTTACAGAATGATTATTCTACATAAAAATTTAAAAGTTATTTTATCTTAAGTATCGATGTTGTGTCGAAATTTTACTTTAATTCTTAATTTCCTTGAAATCTTTTGTTTTAATTTTGTATTTTTTATGGGGGAAATTATATCAATCATATTAAATTTTGTATTATATAAAAATTTTTTAGATTATTTTAATCATTCTCTGCAGTTTGGTCTATATTAATAATGCATTCCACATATTCAACAAATGATAGAATCTAATGGAATTTTTGCTTTATTACATTTTAAGTTATATACAATTTATTTTTAATTTTAACAACCATTTTGTGTAAAATTTTAATAAATTTATTAAATTATCAATTTAAATATTTCCAAAATTTTAAAATTATACGGCAAAACTTCACTTCTCTTGTATATAATAATACAAAAGTATTAAAGTTTTCGATTAAGAAACTCCAATATACAAATGAAACAATTGAGCAGATATATTGACTCTTAAATGAAGATCGGTAGTAAATTCAGAAAAAAAATTACTTAGAAAACTTGCTTAAATAACGATGCAATTTATAGAGAAATAAATATTCATTAAAAATAA